AAGGAGTTGGAGGAAGGAGAGTAGTTCTTCTCTGGTCCTCTGAAAAATAAGGCAGGCTCCAAACTCCATGATGGATTTAGATATTTCCAGATTGTTTAAACTCTCCGGGAGCTCTGGCGATGCGTGTCTGGTTTGCAGCGACGCTGAGGATCTATGAGGTGTACCATCATGTACCATAAACTCCTCACCGAAGCAGTTTGAGGTGCTACAACATATACCTTTCGAAGAGGCGTTTCATTGTATTCATGGTCTTGTCTCATGCTCCAGTGCTTGAGTTTTTAATTTAATTAGTAAACTCCATCTCCCCCCCCCCCCCCCATTTTGCTTTTTAAAACTCTGAGCCAGTTAATCCCCTGGCAGGAGTGAGTTCTGTCCTAAGAGCAGCCTTTCAGTTTGAGGAGTTGCGTTCTCTGTCGTTCTCCTTTGGCCACGCTTGATGAATTCAGCGCAGTGTTCCACAAGGGAGCCAGGCTTGCTTTCTGGTCTCTTCCCTCTCTCTGCGAGGGTAGCGGAAAAGGCTCTGCGGCCGCTTTGCAGGAGAGATGAACTAGAATGACATGCTGGATCTTTCCATTGCTCGCTTGCTTCTGTCGCCCCATCCTGCGTGTGGTTGGAAGCGCTTTGGGGCAGGCGCTTGCGTGCTCTGTGTTCACAGTAGCTGGCCAAGGCCCGGAGATGTTTCCGGTCTACCGACAATTGAGCTCTTTGGTTTCTTGATCAGAAGGTGGGTTCTGGGATCTGTCGATGAAGATAAATTGCACCCCACAGTCCTCTCCTGTTCGGGAACCTAAATCATAAGGCAGCCTGGAAATCCAGCCCTGCCATGTACAGTGCAAAGTCCAGGAGGAATTAAAGGGACACAGGTGGCCTTGTCTTTTTCCTAACGCTCCTCCCTCCCTGAACCTAGAGTTTCAGGTTGCCTTTGTTCCCAGGGGGTAATTCAAACAATCGGGGATAGGCAGAGAGAGCAGCAATCCAGTCACATGTTTTCCCGGGCCACCACCCCTCATGCCAGAGCCTACCAGAGGGGGCAGTATGGATGGGTTCAGCTAAGCTGCTTCTGCCCCACTGCTCCTCTAACCCAGGCGGGGTCTTTGCCTGGCCATTGATGCCATGGAACTGCGGCACGTTCCAGGACCTAATGGTTTCCCTCTTCCTTGTGTGAGGAGAGGCCTGCTCTGATTTTGACCTTGGCAGCCCCTTCATCTGACTCGAGCCCTAGTGAAATTGACCAGTTTTCTCAAGCACAGCAGTCCTGCAAACGAACCCATCCCCCCGCCCCATCATTAACATGCATTAACTGATTTTTTTTTTCATTGCTGCTTCCTGAGAAACTCTGTTTATTGTCAGTGAGATTTGCAACTTGACTCACCTTAGGACAAAGAGGTATGCAGCAGGTGAACAGGGCCGTCTTCCCCCGCCTCTGTCCAAGAAAGCGTGGCTGTGATTTGGAAGTGGAACCCTGCCCCCTTTCTGCACGGACCCAAGGGGGCTGGCGTAGCCCCTTACCAGCTGTGGGCGGGGAGCTGCTCTAGCCCCACTAGTTAACTGGAATTGGTGGTGAAGTGTACTTGTTAACCATTCACATCCGTAATGCGAACACCTGGTCTCACTTTCAGGTGACATAGTAAACAAGAAGTGGGCAGCATTGTCTTCTGCAGATGTAACCAAACTTGTTTGGCTGAGTGGCTGAACAAGAAGTAGGACAGAGTATACTTTAAATTCAAAAGTTTTACATTGTTTTATTTTTGAATGCAGCATTTGTTCGTTTGTTTGGGGGGGTTGTGGTACATAATTCCACATTTGTAAGTTCATCTTTCATGATAGAAATCAGACTTGCACAAGGTGAATTGAAATTACAAGTTTCAAGGTTTTTTTTAATAGGGCAGACATTTGTAATCTGAAATATGTATAAAGTGTCACTGTGTAGACTTTTTATTCTGTTGTCATTGAAATCGAAGGTTTCTAACCATTAGAGGAGCGAGGTTCTGGAATGGCCTTCCAAGGGAAGTAGTGGGGGCAAAAGAGCTATCTGGCTTCAAGATTAAACTAGATGGGTTTATGAAGGGGATGGTTTGATGAGATAACATGATCTTAGTAACTTATTGACCATTCATTATCAGTGGGAAATAGGTCAATGGAGGGATGATAGGAGTTACTATAGAGAACTTTCTGGGTGTCTGGCTGGTGAGTCTTGCCCACATGCTCAGGGTTTAGCTGATCGCCATATTTGGGGTCGGGAAGGAATTTTTCCTCCAGGGTACATTGGCAGAGGCCCTGGAGGTTTTTCGCCTTCCTCTGTAGCATGGGGTACAGATCACAGCTGGAGGATTCTCTGCATCTTGGGGTCTTCAAAGTTTTTGAAGGCTTCAATATCTGAGATACAGGTGAGAGGATTATTCTAGAAGGGGGTGGGTGAGATTCTGTGGCCTGCACTGTGCAGGGGGTCAGACTAGATGATCATAATGGTCCCTTCTGACCTTAAAGTCTATGAGTCTATAAATCAATATATTTGAAAATGAAGCAAACACCCAAGACATTTGAAATAAATGGTATTCTATCATTTAACAGTGTGATTAAAAACTTAATTGTGATTAATCACTTGACAGCCCTCCGTATGCCTAAACTGTGCTTACTCACAAGTTATTTTTAAATGCACGTTGAAATTACCTAAAAGGACTTCATGAGAATCTTCGGGAAAGATTTTTTTTGCAGTCTTTCTACATTCAGAGGAAAGCGGTGTCCGCTATGTAGTGTGCTGAGAACAAACCATAACTATTTCTTCAATGGTTTTGGAGTTGCAGGCTTTTTAAACACTCTTCTTTATGAACAGGGGATAGGTACTGAAGAAGTAATGGTCTTGTTCCTCTCGGGTAGGCTCATTTGGGTTCCAGACTGTGAATCCTCCATTATGAACAGTTAAGGATAATGCCGTTTGTTCATGGAACGTTTTTTCAGTTAAGTCCCTTTGTATCCTCTTGGTTGCTGCAGGTTTATTTTCTGAGCTGTTGCTACATGGCATGGCTCACTAGATATGTGACTTCATTTCACTGTATTCTTTTCCCTTGGACTTTGTAGCAGTTTAAGACCCTGTTGAGTAATACGTCCCCAAATTCATAATATCTTGGCCCTGTCTTTTAACCAGTGTCTTTGCCAAGCCCACTGCAAAAGACAGACTGACTAACTCAGTCCCTTCTTGGATGAAAATAGACCATAAAGATTGCTTTGATGTACTTTGTGTCTTTAACAAAAAACACATGGCATCTTTGTTTTGGATCATTTGAATTGTGGTGGAGGTACAATGTGGTGAGTTTTTTTTTATTTTTTATTTTTTTTTAAGAGTGGCTATTTTCTCAGAAATGAAATAATAAAATTCATGTTTTTTCCCAGAGACTTCCTATGGCTTTAATAATCTGATTATCATCCTCTGGGAATTGCTTTAAATATCAAAGGGGCCCTTTAAATCTGCCTGACGAAGGCTGAAGAGAGCAGATTTTGTGCTAGAAGCAATAGATGTAAGCTAGATGCAGCAGGCATGGTGTCCTATTAGATTCTTTTCTCCAGCTTTCCACAGTAAACGTGTTGCAGAGATGGAAACAAATGACACTATCACAGACATCTACTCTTCGCTCAGCAGGAGCTGCTGTTAACAGCCCCGCATGACTGCATCTGATATTTAGACAAGGCATTAAAAGGCGGCTTTAAATTAGAAACCTTAGAGAATCCGATCAAAGAGGACTTGGAATAGTTTCTGACTTTGGTGTGGGGAGGGAGGCGTGTTCAAAACGCAGAACCCTTTTGTGACTCTTTTGATCCTCTGTCGTCACCGACGTTGCTCGCGTTCCTACCTCAGTGCGGGGTGAGGCTGTTATTGAGAAATAGATAAATATTCGATGGCGTAGCAAACCACTATCGACCACATCAATGACACGTCTCCTGCCGTGCTGCAAGCAGTGCCCTTGCTCTAACTAGCTCTTTACCCAGACCTCACTGGTTCTTTTAAAAAAGAAAAATAAGCTGCCTGTGGGTCGTGCTCTGTCGCCGATGTCTGTGTGGGGGAAACGCGGCAGGGAAGTGTTTGTACCCCACAGATCAGTGTTTGCTGTTAGGTGAGCTGTAGTGTAGCTGTAGGTTTTTACAGTGTTTTCTTCACATGCTGAACATCAGCCTCTCTGAGGACTGTGGTGTGCTTTGTACACTTGCTGTTAGTGAGGTACTAGCTCTTCCTAGGGAGAGATGGCTTTTGTTGCCTGCGGATAGGAACCTGGGAATTTCTGGCATTCTTAGATTCTTGCCCGTGTCGCCTTCAGAGGAATTAAATAGCTCAGTTTAAAAAGGGCTGAAAGAGGCTCTGTTTGGCCTCTCATTGAATTTTGGGAATTCGTGCAGCTCTCTCATGTATGGTTTCACCCATGTGGATCAGAGTGTAGGTTCAGGCCTTAGTGTGTGTCTACTGAGTGCATGCAGTATTATACTGGTCAGACTTCTCTGCTCCAGGACTCTCTGGTCCGGCAACATCCCGGATTCAATTTGCATCTGCATATAAAGGCTGAATATTCATGTGTGTAAAATGGTTTAGTTTTAACTGGGTTTTTCATGCATGCCATCTTTTAATTGCACTTATACGGACATTTACGGAACTCCATTTCTATGGGACAAATTACAACAACCCCTTTCAACGTTTAGGGTCCCTGCTCGTTATAATTACTCTCTAGGATCTCCTAGGAACATGGCCAGGTTTGTGAAGCTGTCACCCATGAGAAATACTGGCCAGTGGTTTTTACAGCAAATTCTCATTTTGTGGATGCCCAATTCAACTTACTGATTTTTCAGAAAATGCTAAGTGGTCTCCCCTGGAAAATTGCCTATCCCAAAATCACCAGGTATGGAGGTTTTTTAAACTGAAAACCTGGCCAAAGGTGTTGGGGGGTGAAGTGTGGAAGAAGTGATCTATCCTCATGACTGGCCAAGCCCTGACGAAGCTTCTTTGTTTTCTCTAGCTTCCTGGTCGCAGTTTTGACACCGGTTACAACTCCGAGGTGGGGGACAAATGGATCTGGCTGAAATGAAACCTGCCTCCGGTTGAAGCCCTACCACTGAATGACCACAGACCTTGGATGATACAGAAGCTGCTTGCAATCTCTCTGCTCACCATTGGCTGTGTAGGGTGCACAGAAGACATACATGCGAATGGCTTGGAAATGACCATGTTAGAGAGGGGCCGCAAAGCAAACCATCGTAATATTTAATTGAAGGAAACTTGTTTCCTCCTTGTAAAATTCAGCTTGTGTGTTTTTATTGTAGGATGATTCGCAATAATTGTAATAATCTGACAGTGCAGCAGTAGCCTCTCTAAGATCTGCGCGGAATCGTCTCTTCTTCAAAACCGTGGCTTCCTATTATACAGGATTTGTGATTGTTCGAAAGATCTGAAAGAAATAAAACCTATATCCTTCTGATTTTCTCCAGTTTGCATCTCCCTGCCTGGCTCTCCCAAGTCCTGTTGGGCTCACCATTCTAGCAGGGCTGCGTTTCTATAAATAAGTTGGAATGTCTCCTTAGCAGCTATTGACATCCAAGCAAACAAATGGATGTGTTTTTTAAAAAGCCACCAGGAGAGAAGGGAAATGAATAGCAGTCCCAGTTAAACAACAAAACATTTGTTGCATTTAAAACTGTAAAGATTTCACAATAATTGCCAGCAGCTGTGCACATAATTTTTTCCTCTAATAGCAAGCCATAAATCAAATTGTTGGCATATAAAAGGCAAAGTAAAAGTCATTATTATTTTATCTGTCCCTACAAATCCAAGTTACCGAGTTCTGTTAAATAAATGATTCATTTGGCTTTAGTTCCCAATCCTAAAAATTAGACCTCCTGGCATTATTTCTAGCAGCACTGTCCAGATTCAGTCTGTCGTAATTCTGCATCTCCAGCCAGGGGCCAAGTACTTTAATCATCGAACGACCGTGCTGCCAGACACTCCAACAGGGAGGGCAATGCGTTTGTATAAGCATTCGCCTTGGGCCAGCTACCCTTTCCTGCACCAGCCCGTCGGGAAAAGGCTGCTTTAAAAGTGGCCGTGGGGGCCCAGTTAGATGCTGATTTGGGCCGGAAGGGTGCTTGTCTATTCCTCGGGCTGATCGAACATCAGTTGCTTTGCCCCATTCGGCAGGGTGTTGCTAACACTCCATTCCCAGCCAGGCTTGCGGATTGGTGTCTAAGTCGGGCGTCAATGTCGTGTGCAGGTGAAGCTGGCCAGTCCAAGGTGTGTGTGTCCACCCATGTCAGACCTGTCAGGAGCACCTCAGAGCACTCAGGCCGTGGGCCTCCACAGATCCTCCGGCCTCATTTCCCCACGTGGCAATGCGCATCTGCAGCTCCCAGCCTTGTCCACCATGAGAGGCAGGCAGAGCTAGGGCCGACGAACGAAGCAGGGACGGAGCCCTCCTCTTGGCTCGCCCGCAAGCACAGATTGCCCAAAGCCTTTCGAACAGGCATGGGCCGTGGCGCGGCTCTCCCCAGCCAGTGCGTCACGGCTGTGTGGGCACATCCACTGCCTGCCCGCACGACATCCCTGGC